GAAACGAAATAACGATAATTTTGTTCAAACTCTGAAGAAGGGTCATCATAAACTTCCTCCTATTAGCAAGAAAACAAATCAAGAAAATATTTGTTTAACAATCTTTGTAATAACTAGCAAAAGAGGAACTCGAGAACTATACAAAATCACTTGATCACTAAAACCAACCAGGACTACAACTCACTCAGGAATTTTAACAAACACCTTGAGTGCTTAAATGAAATCCCACTCAATACAAGTTCCAAACCACATTGTTTCATTATCCAATCAGCACTCATTGGAAAAAAAATATATCCTCAATTGGAAACGATCATGGTTTATCATTCACTGAGCAATTATCGAGAGTCCTTAAGACCAATTCATGTAGAATTCATCCATTATATGAATAAATTCCTAATTCGAACTAGGTATGATGTAACTGAACTAGATTTTGTATATGAAAAATAAAATACCACATTATAATCACAATAATTCAATTTCAAAGTATCAACAAAAGTGAAAATTAGAACCATACAAATGCCATGATTACTGATTTTTATCGAAATCGTATATGAAATCACTTAAAACCTGTATGAATCTAGCATCAATAATGTCGATCAAAATAAAAGGAAAATATTGAGGAGAACACAAAGAAGGAGGAAGAAGAGGCGTGAGGGATTACCTGATTGAACAAAAAACACGGTGAGGAGAATAAAGCAAATGCGGCGGCTTTGGTGGGTAAGGAAGACGGGGAAAACGGACAGCAACGAAGGTGACGACCTGAAGGTGCGGTTATGGTGTTTAGGTTTAGAGCACCGATGACGATGAAGTTCAGAACGTATTTCTCTCTTGGTGTTTCTGTGAATATTCTCCCTCTTAATTAGCCCTAGGTGAAAGTAAATGCAAATGAAAACCACCTGTGGGGAAAAAAAAAAAAAATCAATTATTTTTATAGTTTTAGTGGCATAAAAGAAATAAATGTTAAATTAAAATAAATAATATAAAACTTTTAGTCTAGTTTGTCACTGATAAATGTGACTTTTAGTAACATAAACTATTAAGTGCCACTAAATCCATTAAATTTTATAGTAACATTTAGAATGTGCCATTAAAAGCACAATATAGTGGCACAAAAAAATTATGCCACTAAAAAAAGTGTGCCATTAAATGTCATTTAGTTTGTAGTGATCTCGCGAAGGGGAGGCGCCACCCCGATAGATTCCTCCGGTGCCTCTCACAAGGTATCATGGCCCGGGCAGTTTTCATTTCATTACTTTCCATTCCTTTTCATTACTTTACATTTCTTGTCATTAATTTCCATGATTTACACATACCAAACATTAGTATCATAATACTCGTTTCAAAACATTTCAAACACATTATCAAAATATTTGTTCTTCTAAAACGTTCTTTGATTTCAAAAACATTTTTGCCTTCAAGGCATTCTTTCAAAACATTATCTCCAAAAGCATTTAACACTTTTACTTCAAAACGTTTCATATATCAAAACATTAGTATTTCATTATTATAAAAATCATTTTGTCATGTTCCCCAAAGTGGGGAAAATGCCAACATGTACTCACCTCAATCACACGTAGGTTAGCTAATTCTCTTCTAGTTCCTTTCCCTAGATTAATCCTCTTCAAACACTACCTACACCATATATGGACATAAGTCATTAAAATGACCAAAATACCCCTCAAAGGTTCAAATACTAAATTTTATTGTTTCAAATCATTCCTCATGCAAAAATATGAATGTAGCGAAAATCGTGCGTAAATCCGAGTCCGTATGCAAAAGTTATGAAGAAAACAAAAAAATCTCCAAATCAGGGGATTACACGAGCCGTGTTAATTAAGCCTGCATTAACACGGGTCGTGTTTCCTTGTCTGTACACACACAAAACTTGTTTTTTCTCAATATAACACTATACTTTGCATAGTTCTTGAAGACCCTTTTGCAAATCACTTTGTACCATTTGTATAGGTTCTCACACATGTTTAGGAGGTGTTTTATCATCTTAAAACACTCCACTTAATCCATTAAGTGTTCATTGAAACCTTAAGATCATGATGATCCTCAAGTGTTTAGAAGAAGAGTAAACTAGTCCATTTTTCACTTGAACATTCCAAAGCTCACAAGGTTTGTTCCCAACTTATTGAACACTCAAATAAATGTTGTCAAGCATATAAAACCCCCATTAATCTCATTGGAAATGCCCAATCTAACTATGGAATTCTCAATTCTATTCCATGTTCCAAAATTGCCCTTGCGTTATAACAATCACTAGAGATGCATATTTGCTAACATTCCTTCATGTTTATGTTTCACTATCACCTCTTGAGTGTCAATTTCATGTTCATGAATATCATTCACTTCTTATATGATATTCATTATGAAATTATCAATAGATTTCCCAAAATGCCCTTATGGCCAATTATTCCATAAATTCAACTATAGACCACCCAATCCTTCATGTTATTGCATTCAAATCATATTGTTAGTATCAAATCATGATTATGAGTATCATATACTCATCAAATGCTCATATTCAAAGAATTTCATTGTATTCATCACAATTTCTCACATAACCATCTAAAACCCATCTTTATGCTTGATTCTACCATCATTAATGAATTTGAGCCTTCTAATTGGATTTGTTGCTATCAAATATCATCTAGGTCATAGAATCTAATCTCATTTCATTACAATTAACATATTCTCAATTTGGATTTTCTAGGGTTCATGAGGGTTTTCACCCAAATCATCAAGACCATCAATGGAATGATTGGTTTGAGATTGGAACCACCAAAATAAACTCAAGGGAGGTTAGAAACCAAAACCCTAATCAATGAATCAAACTAATTTCGACATTGGGGCTTTCCCCAAACCTTGAATTCGAAATATAGAGTTAGAGGATGAGAAATTATACCTCTCAAGCTTGATGTTGCTTCATATCTTCAATTCCTAGCTTGATTCCTCAATAACTACTCTAAATCTTCCTTTGTGTCATATAAATCGCCATTTCCTTGTTCCTTTCACTCAATCTCGTTTCCCCTCTCTTCAAATGAAGAGAACCCCATCTAACTAGTGACTACTTTCGACAATTGGCATAAATGACCCCTAACCTTCCTTGTTCTCATATTTAACACCATTTGATCAATAAATAAAAGGAAACTTACATCTTTCACACTTTGACCCCAAAATAATTCATTTTGTCTGATTAGTCAAATGACTATGTTAACACTAGTCACAGAGTTTTCTATTTGTCGAAACTAGTCCCTCAACTTTACAACTTTTTTTCAAATTTTGATTTACTTCAATTATTTTAACATCAATATAAAAGGTTAACATACTTACTCCTCCTCCATCCATTATATGAATTTAGTAGTCCTTTCCACTAACCGAGTCAACCCTTTGGTCAATTAACTTCGTAAATTTGACACTTTTACCCTTTTAACTTTAAAATGTTACTATTTTCATTTATAACTTTCCAAACTTCATATCAACTAATGATATGATTATCCCTTGATGATTTAACTATATAAATCATTTTTCATTTATTTAATTGATTAGTTTAAGAACCCGATCTTAAATTTTATGATGTTACATTATAGACTCTATTATCTTATCATGATGTGAGCCCCCTTTATCCTAAAATCCTGACTCCGCCCCCGGATAAAATGTTAAGCTAAGAAGGTTTCACATTAGTTTAAAGTTGGTAAAGAGAGCTTAATATCATCAGCATTGCACCTTTGTGTCATCAATTTCATGCAAGATCAGGACGATATCATATGTAAAAAATTAAATAAGCTAACTATTTAGTTTTTATATCAATTATTATCAAACGTTAAATAATTAATTACTTGATGAAAGTCAGTCCTGAATTGCAATGCATACGGTAATAAAATGCTTAGATTCCCATTGCAATACCAGGGACGGAACACGAACACTAAAACTAGGGGGCCAAAAATAAAACTTCAAAAAAAAGACATATACCAAGTTTAATTCGATTTAAGTTATTATATATCAAATATGTAAAAAAGACAATTAATATAAAATGTTCTTATGTCGTTCATCAAAGATTCTAACCAACGAGAAACTAACATAAATACTCTTCGGAAGAACGATTTTTTTCTACGGTCGACAAGTAAGTTTATTTATAATTTTGAAAAACATTGATCTATGTTATTAATTAATGATTACATAACTGAAATACACAATAAAACTCCAAACTTTATTTTTGACAAAAGAAATACTCTTTAATAACAAATTTATTAACTTAAAACAAATTAAAAACAACAATAAATGACATAATTGAATTACTTACCAGAAACTCTTTAAAGTAAAACAAATAACTTACATATATAATTAGATTCAAATAACTTATTGAATATATGATAATCAAAATTAATCAAATAAATAACTCCATTAGATATATTATCAAAGTGTTTCTAATTTTTAACACTTTATAGTATTGAGTAAAGTAACCCAAACCCAACAACCCATTAAAGTCCCAAGTAACCAAAGCCCAAAAATCCATTAAAGTCCCCCAATGATATAATTATAAACCCTTTATAGAATACCTAATCTCAATTTTTTTTGGATATCTGAGAAGTAGCAGCCATTGAAGAACTAAACAATGCCGCACAACTATGTCTCATCCTTGAATTATAGAAACATAATAAATTATCTCCCATCTTCCTTTTGTAAACAATCACAAATCAATGGTTTATAATCGATGTGCGACTTGGGCTGTGGGGGCAACGAACAAATAACAAATTGTTGGATTCATCAGAAAAAATTCTTGTTTCCTCTCTACTCTTCTAATTTCCTTTCTTGCTTTATCACTTTATGTTTCTAAGTTCAGCAACTCCTATCTTTATTTTAACTCTATTACAAGAAAAATCTCCTATCTTTATTTTATCGATTGTCTTTTATTTATATATTTAAAAAAAAGTTGGGTCTAAACCCAACACGCACACCTACCCATTCTATACCTACGTGATATCCAACCATATATGCCAGAAACCTCCCGACCGTCGACGACCGACCCTGAAAGTCCAACCGCCACCACCACATTACTCCGCCTCTCCCTCCTCCATTCAATACCGTTGGCCCCAAAAAGTCCAACAACCACCATCACTACTTCAGTCATCGTCCGCCCTAACCAGATCGTGAAACACTTTATCACCATTTTCGTCATTGTTCACCAATCGTCGACACGCCACTGCAGCCACCGGTCACGCCATCTTCTTTGTTGCTTTTACATTGAATCGTGTTGTGACCTCGTTGTCCCTATATTCACTTCTTTTACTTCTTTTCATCCACTAACACTAGTTGGATCGTATCACTCTGTTCTAAACCCAGGTTTTTGAAGGTCGGCAGAGCCTAATCAAACATGTCACAGAGTATTCTCTCTCGCTCTCCCTCTCTATCCTACATTTGTTCGTATTTCAATCAGGTGCAATTTGAGTACTTGTATTCAATTGATGAATTCACAAATCAAGACGAGTTTTCAATCCCACACTTTGTCAATTTCACAAGTTTTAGATTTAAAATGATATGAACGTTTGAGTTGTTACTAAATGTTTTACTAAGTGGTGTTGGTGAAGATTTTTGAATGTGGATCCAGTGAATCTAGTAGTGTCTCAGTTTGTGATGAAACAAGAGACACTTTTTCATCTCTGATTACTCAGAAAACTCATATTGATATGAGCAATAGCAGGGCTAGATTTGAGATAGTCTTCAATTTCATTAAGGTGGATATTAGTTACCTCTAACACATACTTTGTTTTGGAATATGCAAGTAGTGTTTTTACTTATTAGCACTCTTGATTTAAGGCAACCTGATATTTCTTATGGATTCTGGATTTGGAGTAGTCAATTTCAAAGATGAAGATAATCCATGTTGAAGGCACAAAAGGAAAGGTATCATTGTTGGTAGTAATCTTCGATGATTAACCATCTAACTTTGACAATTTCTCCAATTCAAATTAGATGTACTGTTGATTTTATCATATAATACTGGTGTATATATTTGGAATATTTGTAGGGATCAACAGGCACATTTACTGAGGAAATACTATGCAATTATGGATTTCGAACATTAAGTTATTTGGGTTATTATCATCATACTTCAATTAGGTCAAAATCTGAGAACTTCTTTAATAATTATCAAATACGTGGGAAATTATGATCATGCTTTTCGTTTGCAATTCCCTTGGTAGATAAAATAGAGAGACAAATATATACAAGCATAGGATAATTTTGGAAAAATAGATGAGTATATATAATCAGGTTTCTAGAAAACATTTTCCATCAATAAACTTATCCATGGTAGGTGATTTTTTTGAGACATGAGAATATTGGCATGGCTTTTGACCATAGTGTGTTTTATGTATTTTCATTAATATCTTATCATCTATTAATTATTTTGAAATTCTCCTATCTTTTTTATTTCCAATACTCTTTTGACCAAGCCTTACGAAGACTTGATTTGAGGGCAATCGTTGCTATAGACAATTTTTTTTATTCTTTTAGAAAGTCTTATGTATAAATTAAGTATTTTTAAGCATTATATAATTGTTAACAATTTACAAGATCTGAAACAGGCGCAAAAGGAAAATTTTCTTGTGGTTTTGACATTAATGCTTTTGGTGGAGTTCATGAAGGAAAAGGTATGCATAGTGTTTGACGTACATTCTATCCATATTTTTGCTAAATTTCTTAAATTTCCATTTGTGTTTTGTTCTTTACAGCTATGACACATGAGCAACATCAAAACATGCTTATGTATCAAGTATCAATTGATATTCTATCTGATACCCTTGAAGGTATGTTCAATTACCACGGTACCCCTCATAAAGGTAATTTTATATATATATATATATATATATATATATTATATATATATATATATATATATATATATATATATATATATATATATTAAAATGTTGGTGTTGGTTTCAGCTGCAAGAAAACTGTCTGTTGATGCTATTGATGGGCTTGCTTTAAGTGGGGGATTGGAAGTTGCTATGGTATGTTTTACTTTTTCTGGCTGTTTTTACTTTTTTATTAATGATATTTTGTGAAGTGTTCTTTATTTTATTTTCAGGCTTTCCATGCTAGAATTGTTTTTTCTACTACTCAGTTAGGTTTTCCTAAATTGTAGCTCGGTGTTATTCCTGGATTTGGAGGTATACAACTATAAATAAATGCAACATTATGTAAATTTTTGCTTAATTTTAAATAATGTTATCATTTTTCTTGCTAGTTATCAATTGCATGATTCTGTAAGTATTTTTAGTGGAGGGTATTCTATATAATATCGACAAAGGATCATCTGTTATAGTGTAGTTTCAAGAAAAAATGTAAAATCTTTTGCTAAAGTTTGGTTAAGATTTACCTTTTACCTACTTATCATTAGTGTAGGGATTTTTATAATTTTTTGACTTGTGATTTTGATTTTATTTCAAGAACTCAAAGGCTTCCAAAGCTTGTTGGTCTTGCAAAGGCCCTTAAAATGATGTTCGTATATTCTTATTTCTTGCAGTCTATGTAACACTCGATTTATTGTACATTTCGAATTAGACCCTTTGGGGTGTATTGTTTGCAGAATTGGTCCCTGGGGGGCTGAATTGCCAACTTCAGGAAAGTTGGAGTACGCAGGGCGTATTAGCCAAAGGTGGTCGCAGAGCTCATCCATGTACGCTGGGCGTACGTGGAGTACGCTTAGCGTACATGAGCAAGTTTAAAACCCTAATTTTAGGGCTTGTACCCTATATAAAGCATAAGATAGCCTCTTTTGGCCTTGTTTAACCAACCTCCATACCCTTGAAAACCCTAATTCGTTCCTTAGCCTTGTGGGGTGCTTTTGAGCTCGTGTGAAGCTTTTGGTGGGTGCTGTGCATCTTGAAGTGGTAGAAGAAGAAGCTTGAAGACTCATTCTTTGGTGGAGATCCTTGAGATCCAACTTTAGCACCTTCATTTCGTGGCTTTTGAGGTATAAAGTTCAAAGCTTGTCATCTCATTTCATAGATCTCTTTCTTGGCTTTTTTTTGGTAATTTTGGTCCCTTTGGTTGATGATTGTGAGCTAACGTCGCTTTTTGGAGCTTATCCTTGTAGATCTGGACATATTAAGGGTTTCTTAGGCATAAAGGTGCAAACTTTATGGTGGTTTTGGATCTCATGCAAGTGTTAAGTCATTTATTAAGCTCTTTTAAGCTCTAAATTCCCATTAAGCCATGAATGCACGTAAAGTTGGCAACTTTATATGATAAACCACCTTAAGGAAGTCAGATCTGAGTTTGGGGTGAAGTCTTAATCGATTAAAAAGTGAATATGGGAAGTACACCAAGTTGGTGGAGTACGCTGCGCGTACAAGCCCTGCGTGTACTCTGAGCGTACGAGCTCAGTACGCCCCGCGTACTCAGCAGATTAGGCTTCAGTCTTTTTGGGCTCTCGGTTTTGGGCCATGTTGGACTTTGGTTGTCTTGGGCCTTTTGGGCCATCGGAATTCTATTGTTAGGTTGTTGAGATTTTATTGGACTTTCTTGGGTGAAGGCCCATGAAAGGGATTGGGCCCAATTTGGAAAATTGGGCCATATTTGGGCTTTGGGTGATTATTTTAGAATTTGGACTTTTTGGACAATTGGATTGGGCCTTGGCCTTGGGCCAAGTTCGAAAAGGGTAAAAAGGTATTTTACCATAATTTGACCTCTTAGTGTGAGTCGGGATCCAATTATTAATTAGATGTTATTTTGTGATTGATAGGGCAGGGATTTTAGCCGATCGACAACCAGAGATTTATCTGTGGGTTTCAACAGTTTGAGTGAGTCTCCTCACTGTACTATGGGTTGAAGACACCAATGTCGGCCCATTGGCTTATGTATTGTTGGAAGACCAAGGGGTGACCCTTGACATTGTATGAAAGACCCTGCGGTGGCTCCTGGAAAATCTGTATGCAAGACCAGGGTTCAGACCCTAGCAGTTAAGTAGCTTGTTAGTTGTAGATTGTATGCTTGTTGTCTTTGTGATGCTTGCATAGAAGACAAGGAGGTGGCTCTTGGCACTTGTCTGTAAGAACTAGGGTTTTGGCCCCAACTTGGCAAGGAAAGACCATGATATGGCTCTTGACATAATGGCAAGACTATGGATGGCACATAGCATTCTCTATTGTATGTATGGTATGCGGTATTTTGGAGAACTCACTAAACTTTGTGCTTACAATTTATTGTTTATGGTTTCAGGTACTTCCGGTTCAAAAGGAAAGGGCCCGGCTTGATTGCAGCGAGTACACCATGTTTTTCCGCAACATTGTAATTTTGGGATTGTACTCTGATAACTGTTTTATTATGAAATACTTCTAAATGGTTGAGTAAAAGAAAAATGGGTGTTTTTATTGTATTAAAAATGAAATTTTTACCTTGAAATTTGGGATGTTACAAGTTGGTATCAGAGCCTTGGTTTGAGGGATTTAGGCACACTCTCGGGTATGTCTGAACTCAAACTGAGGAATTGATAATCTTTTGAAAGAAAATGAGTTTCTACAAAAAAGATTTTGAAAAAGGAATAAACTACAAAAAAGGATTTTATATAGACAAAAGGGGGTGTGGTGCGTGCAATCAGCCGAGCTTAAGTAAGTGATTCCCAGAATACCCATACATGTCTCTTATGATTATATGTTATGAGAATCGCATGCTAGGTTAGGGCTAAGGATCTGCTCAGGATTTCATGGTAGGAAAGATGCCTTTATATGCCTGATTGTTGAGCCGTGGGATTGCATGCTAGTATGGTTTTTAGATAATTGGATAGAATGGCTTAATTAGTTGGCACATTGGTTAGATTTTTTGTGCCATAATGCTGCTTGGTTTATGCTTTGTGGAACTTTTAAGTGATGTGAGTTAGTTATTAAGTGAATATGTTAAGTCACATGTGACAAAGGTTGAATAATCTCAGAGTAATGGATTTGACACTATTGCGCAGCTCTCATTTGAGTCTAACCGTTGTAGGGATGAGTCTATTACTTGACGGATTATCTAAGCTTTGTTGCATGTGATTGTATTCATGAAGTAGTTAACTGACATTATTAGGAGCTCTTCAATAGTTGACGGCAGGGTGAGGTTGGGAACCTAGAAAAAGCCTATGAAGTGCTTCAGTGGGTTTAGTTGCGCTGTTTAGCGATTTGGAGTATCAGTTTGAGAAGGCGACTTAGAGGATTTGGGATGATTCTTGAGGAAAGTATGGATAGGTGGGGAAGGTAGTATTGGGCTCGTACTACTGAAAGCACATGATCCATACTCGAATCTGGGAGAGTTTCGGAGAATCTAGGAAGCCTGTGGGATGAGGATTCTTGAGTATAATCTGATCATTTTCATGTTGTTTTTTAGTTAGTAATGAGCACTCAGGAAGGAGGTTCAGGTTATGGTTCCGGCTCAGGTGCAGGTATTGAGCCGATTAGCGAGCAGATGCGGGAGTTCATCTCGTCGGACATTACCCGCAGTATTGTGGAGCAGACTGCTGTGATCTTTGGTACGGTCAATGAGAGAATTTTGGAGATTTTGGATGAGCGTCTGGGAGCGTTCCGTGCTGATGTTTTGGCGATTGTTGGGGCTCGCACCCTTTCCTTCCGTGAGTTTCATGCTTGTGGAGCTCCCGAGTTCTTTGGGGAGAAGGACCCCATTGCCAGTAGGAGGTGGTTAGCAGATATGGCTAACGCTTTTTGGACGAGTTTCTTCCATGAGGGGTCGAATGTTAGATTTTCTTCCTGTCTTCTAAAAGGCAGAGCTCGAGATTGGTGGGAGGAGGTAGACTTCACCCTGGGAGGCGAGGTCCTGGATACGATAACTTGGGATGAGTTTGTGACTCGGTTTAGGGATGAGTTCGCACCAGCTATTGAGGTACAGCAGTTGGAAAAGGAGTTTCAGGATCTTCGTCAGACTACAAAGACTGTGGCAGAGATCACTGCCAAGTTCCGGGAGAGGGATTTATTGGTTCCGCAGTATACAACGGATGAGGAAAAGAAGAAGTTAAGGTATCATGATATGCTGAGGGATGAGATCAGGGAGTTCATGAGTATTTCAGGGTGCAAGACCATGAATGATATGATTTCTAGAGCCTGAGAGCGGGAGATCGATTTGGATCACTTGGGGAAGAGGGAGCCAGAGCTTGTGTAGGCATTCGAGGGTCCTTCAAAGAGACCTAAGACTTCAGATCAGCGATTGAGGGGCCAGCAGGGCCGAGATCAGTGCAACACGTGTGGGAAGCAGCACGATGGGGTTTGTCGTTCTAGGGGCATGGGCTGCTACAAGTGTGGAAGGGTTGGTCATTATTAGTCGGGATTGTCCTCAGGGGACAATCCCGTTATGTTTTCAATCCAACCAAGTGCACCACAAGAAGGCCGACTGTCCGATGTTGAGGGGCGGAGCAGTGAGTGCACCTGTTCCGGTTACCTTGAGGATCACTGATGGTCGTGAGGGTAGGGAAGGAACCGAGCATTGTAGTGTCAGTCATGAGAGGCCAGGGTTCCAGCATGTGCTATTGCGGGTATGTTATCTTTTGCTTTCTTCTTGATTATTATCAGTATTGATATCGCTTTGGAATTTTGTATTGGTTTGGGTAAGCATTATATTTGGTTTAGTTACCTGTTATTGTCTGGGTTATATCATCAAGAATTGTTATATGCCATTTTGCATGCCATGAGTCAGTAGTGGGTCGTATCTTGCTGAGAGGGTTTCAATTGCTTCGGTTGTTGTTCCGGTTCTTTGATGGGTCAATTCAGGGGTATCGATTGGAAGGTCTATAGTCGGATTAGTGGGTAGTTCTCCAATGAAGTCGGAGTTCAGTTGTGTTAGCATTTGAGATGGAAGGATCGGCGGTCGTCTATGGAAGAACCTTTGGGTTCAATCACTACCGTTGCTAGGGAAGGAGCGGTATCAAGAAGATGGTGGTGGCAGATGCATGAGCTTGGTTGGTCATTGGAAGTACCAGGGCAATTTATTTATCTCAAGGGTTATGGTCCTTGACATCAACATAAAGGACTTAAGGATTTGGGTTGTATCATGGGAAGCGATTGGGGTTGTTGAACTTGCTGAGATTTTGAGGAGTGTTCATCCAGATTTCAAGAATTGTGCGGTCATTGGAATTGGCTAGTGATTGAACACTAGTATTGGTAAGCACAAGTCGTCGGTGGTTCAAATTATAAGGAGGTAAGATGGGTTGGGAATCCATCAAATTATGTAGGTTGGGAGAGCTTCGACAAATCTAAGTGGGGGAGAATCGTTCATATTTCCGGAAACTGAATCAGAAGTGAAACTTGGATGAGTTT